CTTAGGGGGTAAGCTGATCTTCTCAAAATAACAGGAATATCATTAGGGCCTTGGCTTAAAGCTATAAGCAGAATTCCTAACAGAATGAGAAATTTTTAAATTGTGACCTCTAGTAAATAATTGAACTCTTCAGGACCTCTGTTTTCCCATCTATAAAACTAAGGGTTTGGTGATAACCTTTAACATCACATTCCATAACAGTGGGTCTCTTAGGTTATAGAAAGTACTGAGTTACTTACTCTCTTTGAATGATCTTTTATGTTGTGGTAGCGAAACATCTGTTGCACATTTTGTTAAAAGTTAAATTCTATGTGTGTAGTATGCTTTGGAAAAAGAAATTGCAATAAGTTGGAAGCAGAATGAAGAATATAATTATATAATTCTGCCATTTTCCTCCAATCAAACCTCCAGCATCTCCATTTTCAGACCTCACTGGGTTAAGACTTTAAACATAGCCCTTTACTCCTAAGATAGTACATGTTATGAAACATTAATAATTCTTTTCTAAACATTTTCCTCAGAAATTTTAACTACAAAGGAGCTGGCCCTGATAGTCTGATAAGGGTCTAACTAACTAAGAAAACTTGAAGGATTTTGTTTGATTCTATTCATATTATACTCATATTCTCAAACGTTTTAAGATTGAGTAGACTATTTTCACAAGAACTGAGAAGAGCTTCAAATGTAAGTGGCAATTCTGTCACTAGCTGTGTAATCTTGAGCAGGTCATTTTATCTCTTGAGTTTCTTTTCTATAACATAGCAATCAAATGTGTGTGTGTGTGTGTGTGTGTGTGTGTGTGTGTGTGCGAAGAGAGAGAGAGAGAGAGAGAGAGAGAGAGAGAGCGCGAGCCTGCTGTGAAGTGAATGAATACATCAGTCCAAATAAATGCTTTGTAAAGTCCTTCACAAATGAATAGGAAACTATTATAGATGATATACTCAGTACCATTCCATGCATATGTTAAAAAAAAAAAAAAACAGAAGTATAGAATATATTTTCAGTCTTAAGAGACTTTACAGAGTACTTGGGGAGATAGGTTTGCTTGTTTTTGCATAGACATCAATTAGTACTTTATTCTCAAAGGAGTTTTTCTCTAGTTAACAAAATATACAAAAATAATATTGTACATTTTAAACAAAATGTACAAAACTGACTATCATCTTCCAATGAACTTACCCCAGTGCTTACCATCCCCAGTCCATTTGGTTCTTAATAGTTTTACAAGGGGGCATATATAATTTCTTATATCTATAATACTTCTGATTGTTCAAATACTTTTCAGAACTATACTTCATTTAAGCCATGATTAACTTATTCAAGTATAAACACTAAGTGTTTTCTTCTATCTTTATGATCTTTATAATTTTATCCTTTTTTAATTTTGGGATTGCCTATTTGTCATCAGCCCTGAAGTCAGTGGATCTGCATGAATCTGGAAAATTTCAGCATCAATTTGCTGTGGACTTGGATAAGAATATCAACATCCAATGGCAAAAACATGGTTACCCTTTGGTTGGATCACTGACCTATTCAGTCAAAGAGATTGAGTACATCACCCGAGTAATTGACAGAACTGGAGGAGAAAAAAATACTATCATTGTTATTTCTCTGGGCCAGCATTTCAGACCCTTTCCCATTGATGTTTTTATCCGAAGGGCCCTCAATGTCCATGAGGCTGTTCAGCGTCTTCTTCTGAGAAGCCCAGAAACTATGGTTATTATCAAAACAGAAAACATCAGGGAGATGCACAGTGATGTGGAGAGATTTGGTGACTTTCATGGTTATATTCAATATCTCGCCATAAGAGACATTTTTCAGGATCTCAATGTGGGCATCATTGATGCCTGGGATATAACAATTGCATATGGCACAAATAATGTCCACCCGCCTATATCTGTAGTCAGAAATCAAATTAATATATTGTTAAACTATAGTTGCTAAATAATACATACCTCTGAAATTCATTCACTTAATTAAAAACATTATTAAATGTTTGCTATCATGCCAGATGCTGTGTTTGGCTCTGAACTCCCGATTAGCATGAGATAACCTGCACTATGGCTGATCCATAAACCCCCAACTTAACTGAATCATTTATTTCTAATTTGGGCTTCCACTTAAAAATAAGAAATACTAATGAAAAGGACCTACCTGTCTTGATCAAGGCCATGCCACTCTTCACAAATGGAACATCAAGACACCTAATGGTTAAAAGTTCTTCTCTCCAATTCATAAAAATTCAGAGCAATTAAATCATTATGCAATAAATATTTGGAAAAAGCAGTCCCATTTCCTCATTTCCACCATTAAAGGCAAGCTCAAGATGATTTGATTTCCAAGTGGGAAGAGAAGTCTCGAGGTTATTCTCCAGGTCCACAGTCCTTGAGGAGCAGCAAAATTCCAAGCAAGGCCTCCAGGGCACTGAGAATCTCTGATTTTTCTCTCCCTATAAGAACTCCCACTTCTAGGAGCTAATTGGATTTAATAGAATTTATTCTTCAGAAATATAGGATAACACAGGTGAAAGCACAGTGCACTAGAATTCTATGAACTGGGTTTCCATCCTTTTATTGCCAGTCATCTTATAACTAGATAAGTCACTTCAGCTCTCTGAGCCTCAGTTTCCCAAACTAAATGGTTAATCTAAGCTTTGTGATTTTCAGACCTTGCTCTGTGCTGGGTGCTATAGGTGATATTTCCGGTACTGCCTGGAGGGACAGAAGTTAGGAGAGGTGCCTGGGGATCAGGGTACGAATTCTGCCACACAAGCCAGAGTATCAGCCATTTTTATCTATATAGGGCTTCTGAGAGGGCTTTTGGTTTGAAAAAAGCTCTGCTGCTTAAAACATATTTGAAAACCATTATGTAGATAATCAACAACATTGGTTTTTATAATATATACATGTAGGTTAACATTTTAATCACTCTCACTTGCATTTTAATAGGCTTTCCCACAACTTTACCATCAAAGAATGACTGAGAGGAGATTTCAGTTGGATAGGGCAATATAATTATTATAAAGCAATTCAATATCATATCCCTCCTTAATTTTTCCCTCTAAACCATGCCCCAGATACCACTGGGCTTCTGATCTACTCTTGCTGCATCTAGGAAAAAACAATTATAATAGAAACATCTTAAATCTATTTATCCAGTTTCTTCTGGGCAAGGAATATTAAATTTTCTACTTATATGCCCATGAACAATAAGGGCCCAGTGAATACTCAAATGGTCAAAAATATTTATTAAGTCTCCATCATGTGCCAGGAACTATCCTAGTCTTTAGGAATACGGTGAGCAAAAGAGCACATAAATTCTCTGCCATCAAAGAATTTCCATGGTAATAAAGGAAAAATATAAATAAATAAGATATGAAGTAATTCCATAGTGCTAAAGTAGTAAGAACAAAGTATATAACAGGGTGATATACTGGAGAGTGACAGCATGGTGATGATGGAGGTGACTAGTTAGAGCAGTTAGAGAAGGCACCTTAGAGAAGAAGGCATTTCAAATGAGATCAAAATAATAGAAAGGAAGCATTAATTTTAAAAAGTGCAGACAAAGATCCTAGAGAAAAAAAATGGCACGTGCAAACCCCTGAGACATGATGGAGCTTGGTTTATTTAAAGAACAAGAAGAAGACCATTATGCCTGAAATATTGTCAATGAGGGAAATAAAAGGGGAGAAGAAGTTAGAGAGTAAGGCAGGGGCCAGATCACTAGGGCATTACAGCCTATGATAAAGAGTTTGAATTTTATCCTAATTACAATGGGAAGGCATTTGAGGGAGGGAGGTAGGAAGGGAAGAAGGGAAAATAGGAGAGAGGGAAGGACAGACAGAGAGAGAGGAAGTAGGACAAAGGAAGAAAGAAAGTGAAAGAGGGAGGATGGAAGGGAGGGAAGGACTTGTTACCTTAACCCAGACATCACCATTGAGTGCTATAGTTGCTAAGGTCAGAATGAGCAAGAGTTATAAAACCGGGGAGGCTTGCAATAGCATCTGTTTTCTTCTATCAATAAACTGACATTCCATTACCACTCTCCAAGTGGGATAAGCATGGATAATGTGCATTGGGGGTCTTGCTAAAGGGGCAGATTTTTTTTAAGGGACACAGAGGACTATAATTTTAGAACAGAGACTAAAATTAGAATGTGACTAAGATCTTTTTAAAGAAAAGAAGATAAAAAGTATATGTTTGTAATATGTGAGCCCGAAGAGAAAATATAAGCTCAGATAAGATATTACATTCAGAATGATAGCTCTCAGAAGTTAGTGCTTTCTAGGGGAAATTCGTGAAGAATTTATAGGTTCTTCCAAAAATCGAATCATTATAAACATAAAAATAATTGTTGCCATGTCCGCTTGTTTGATATGGTCATTTCCTGTCCAAGATGATCACCCAGTATGTACATGGCAAGTGCAAGGTGGTCTTCAAATAAGATGAAAAAGTGAAAATGACTGGTGCACAGCCTTTTGGACAGAATGGATTCTGAGATAACATGGATAAATACTCCAAAAAGAAACAGAGGTAAATATTTCCAAGGGAAACCATCATCAAGAGGCAAGGATGTTAATGAATATAAAGTACTAAGAAGAAACTGAGAAGATGAGAAATATTTTTAAATAAATATGAGGTTTTTTCCAAGGTGGGTGTTTTAAAAAGTGATATATTCTAAGTACTCATTAGTGCTAAATTCCTGAAGTTATAAACTCTCTTGTCATTGTATCAGTCTGGATCCAATTAGGAGTTAGAAACCACACAGTGGGCTAAACTGGCAAAGTATAATATAAAGAATTATTAAACTGATAAACAAGTGACTGTAGGATATAAGGAAACTCTTTATAGTACCCTTAGGGTGGAGAGGAGGTATCCAAGGAAAGAGCAACTTGGAAGGGGTCCTCCCCCAGGTGGGGTTCAGACCTTGTTGGGAAAGATGTAGTTTAGTCCACTGCATAGCAGAAAAGATGGCTGGTCTACCCAGGCCATAGCTGGTCTGCAGTTGCTGGGCCAGCAGACAGCTACCCTCTGCAGTACGGGCAGGGTGGGTGTGATCAGGAGCGTGGACATGCAGAGTGGGTAAGGGTTTGGACACCGGCGAGCTCTGCAGAGGACTTACAAAGGGAATCAGCCCCATGAAAGCAGGAGGCCTTCACTAGGGCATTGTTTTCTGTGTAATGAAGACCAAGGAAGTTATTCCTGGGCCAGGACAAGCTGCAAGGTCACTGAAGGATTTCTTGGTTCTGAGGAAAAGACTGGAGAAGAGCTCCACTAGATGTCCCCATACTCAAAATGCTGACCCGCTACTCAGCCACAGGAATTAGCAGGGTTGTTCCTTCTTCCTATAATGTCCCTCCAATGCTCTCTGCTGAGAAAGCTAAATAATGTGCTCACTGTACAGAAGAGATGCTTAAAGGAATTCTGTCCATTATTGCAGAGAATATATTGAAAGGTGAATTTGGAGTTGAGGGGCAATAAATTAATAAATGACACAATCATAAACCCACTCCTTTTTACTGGGTCATTTCCTTAGGAAACAAGACTATGTTCTAATAATAGCTCTAATAATAGCATCCCCTGATATTACATTTTTCTTCAGATACTGTCACACATCTTCTCTTTGTATAAATCCTTCTTGAAAATGTAATCTATATTAACTGTCCTCACTATCTCCTATTCTCTGTTACAGCACATTCTGGTTGGACTTATGTTCTACATTGCTCCTGTTAAGGTCAGCTTTGTATTGTTCAGATCCAATGGACACTTCTCTATCTTCATCTAGCTCAGCCTCTCAGTAGCATTTGACCAAGTTGAATAAGCCTTCTTTATTCACACCCTTTGTTTACGTGACACGGCTCTTTCTGTGTTTTCCTTCTGCCTCCTAGAGACTCTTTTCCACTCTCCTTTGTCAATTCCACCTCTATTACTTGGCCTCTGAATGTGAATTACCCTGGGGTTCAGTCCTACCCACATGCTTTGCTCTGTCTATACTCTCATTCTGGATGATAGCCAACCTCTAGTTTATTATAAATTACCACTTGTAATTTTAATGACACAACTATTTGTAGCAATAGTAGCTAATAGCTACCTATTTGGCATTAGAGATATTTTTATGTATAAAATGACATGGCATGTAGTATAGACATGTTCTCTTTTAGGAGAATATATCCATGATATGACAGAGAAGCTTCAAGATTCTCAAAGCCCAAGAGATGTGTCACAAAATATTACGATTATGTGACTCAGAAATGAAAAGTTTAGGGTCAGAGATTGTGTTTTTCATGATTACCCATTGGTGGCTGCAGCTTTAAAGGGGAAATATGGGTATATGCTATTAGCTGTACTCTTTGTGTTGCCAGGAAAGATTTGTTGTTTCGGAACATGGGCAATGATGCTAATACAAGTGCCTTCTAGAAATGGCTTGGAACACTTAGAAAAACAAAGAATAATATTTGGTCCCTGACCAGGAAGTATTTATAATCCAACCAAGGCAAATTTGTATAGAAATAACTTACAAATGAAAGCAGGGGTCCACCAGCACTGCCTAAACTTCCATATCTCACACTAAATTAGCCTCTAAGAGTAGCCCTTTAATGGGTTTTCCACTTCCAGACCTAGATAAGGATCATAATGACTACATATCCCTTCCTTCAATTCATTGTCCAAACTGTTTCTTTTTAATGAAAAGAACATCCTTCATAGCTTTCTCCAATTAAAGAGACCTCAGTCATTCTTCATGTCCTAGTTCCCTATAGGCATGCTCAACTACTTCCTCTTCTGTGCACTCATGCACTATCTTCATATGACTGTAGTGTTACATTATGTTAGAAATAATTCTATGTGTGTCTGATAACATAGATAACACTAAAACTAAATCACATATTTCGTGAGAGCAGGGAATATACCTTTATCACATAAACAATCTGAGACTTTCAGAGTGGA